TAAGATGTCGCAATGGCGGAATGACAATGCCTTTTTATCAAAAGTTTTTATGGCTTTCTTAAATAGAGATTCAATACTTTTAAGAGTAGTTGTGCTAGTTAATGACCAATTTGTAAAACAATACTCAATATGTGAATATAACATTTTAAAGTATATTAAAATAGAACATTTATTTGTGATCAAATAATTTATAGTTTTTAATATGCATACTGTATTTTTGATCAAATAATAATAACAAAGTCAACTTACCTTTGATTAAAGTTAACAGTTCCTCTAGTATTTTCTCAATGCTAGCAAGACCACTACCACAGAGACCTGCAAAAAAAAAAAAAAAAACGAATTCAGCAACCAACAAAATAGACTGATGACCAGGAGATGTGTTGTTTCAGTTCACCTTGCAGGAACATCATGTCCATCTCGGGCTGGTCTTTTATTTGAGCTCCTTGGTCAAACTGACTTCCGAAACTGGAAGTATCTACAAAGGCCCCGGGGATGGAGTAGCCAGTCTCATGTGGCGTGATCTCAACAAACGTATCTATGACAGAACACTGTAAGTCAAAGGCACAGTATACAAACATACAACGGACAAATATATTGATATTACCAGCATCTAGTTTATCCTCATGGCTCTGCTTATCAATCACGGTGTAGATGGGATAAGGATCTTTTGTGCTCTGTTTGCTTCTCAGATCAGAGAAAGTTTGCTCATCTATCTGTAGAAAAAAAACAGCTCAAATACTTCAATATAGTGTGTGTGCGCGCGTGCGTATATATATATATATATATACTGTTCTTGAATGGCCCAGCCAGAGCCCTGACTTAAATCCAATTGAGCATCTCTGGAGAGACCTAAAAATGGCTGTCCCCCAACGTTTACCATCCAACCTGACAGAACTGGAGAGGATCTGCAAGGAGGAATGGCAGAGGATCCCCAAATCCAGGTGTGAAAAACTTGTTGCATCTTTCCCAAAAAGACTCATAGCTGTATTAGATCAAAAGGGTGCTTCTACTAAATACTGAGCAAAGGGTCTGAATACTTAGGACCATGTGATATTTCAGTTTTTCTTTTTTAATAAATCTGCAAAAATGTCAACAATTCTGTGTTTTTCTGTCAATATGGGGTGTCGTGTGTACATTAATGAGGAAAAAAAATTTACTTAAATGATTTTAGCAAATGGCTGCAATATAACAAAGAGTGAAAAATTTAAGGGGGTCTGAATACTTTCCGTACCCACTGTACATTCAGTGAGGACACATTACGTTTATTAAAAGTGATCAAAAATATATTTACATTGTTACCAAATAAATTATACTTGTAATAAATGCTGTTCTTTTGAACTTTCTATTCATCAAAAAATCCAGATAAAAATTTATCCGTTTCCACACTGATAATAAGAAATGTTTCTTGAGCAGCAAATCAGTATATTAGTATGATTTAGGATCATGTGACACTGAAGACTGGAGCAATGTCTACTGAAAATTCCGCTTCGCTATCACAGGAATAAATTACATTAAAGTAGTAAACAGTTATTTGAAATTGTAATAATATTCCACAATATTGTTGTTTTTACTGTATATTTGATCAAATAAATGCAGCTTACGTGAGCTATATATTTATAAAGTATAATATATAATGTTCATTTGTGATGTGTCTTGTAATGCTGCAAAGTCTGAAGCAACCCACTTTGAGTTGAGCTACCTAACACTGATTTTAATATAATCTGGATGAAATGTAAATGAAAATCCACAGAACAATTCAATGTCAGTACAGTGCTCCACTTATGCTAATATTTGACATACAAGTATTAATCATGTTGATTTGCCTAAAAACATGTAGAAAACTTTTCACACCACGGGTGGCATGCAGTTACTCTACTGTGTATCATACCCAAAACACCATTTAGCTGTGACTATTTTTAATATAACATCAAATCATAGCATTTCATGCCGTAGTGCTTAAATTATGCAAACAAGATTACTGCTCTCACCTCTTTCACAATCATGGTTATATATAGCACTGCCCAGAAGTCTGTCAAACTGAAGTTGTCTTTTTCTCTGTAGTATCTTTTGAGTTTTTTACATTTTTCCTTGAAACTGATGTTTCCACCAAGTTTATTTTGAATGTCTTCTTTCACTTTTTCCAGCTTGCTGGACCAATTAGGCTCTTTGTATAAAGACACCATGCACCTTATGAAGAAAAAGAGGTTCAGCATTTGTTTATACTCAGCTGGATCTGATGAGCTAAATCTGAGTTCACGTGTTTGTTCACTTACCAGGTCGATCCAGAGAGTCCAGCAAGATACAGCACGCAGTCCAACAGATCATCTTGAAACAGTGCAAGCAGTGATCCCAGCAAACCCAACATCGCTCTTTCACTTCCTCCTGAAGCCACCAGTGCGATGTTGGGCATCTCTTCCTGTAAAGAGTAAACACCACATTTATGAAGTGACTATATAAAAAATGCCCCCTCTTCTGTGAGGAGTCCAGTCATCAAAGAATGAATTTGGCTTTGTCAAGATGACCTGCCTAAACCCTTCCAAGAAAGACATTTCCCAACAACAGAACTGCTCTCTATATTTGCACTTGATTGTCAGGGTTTTAACATTCTGTAATCATGTTTCATATAATTCATTCCGGTTCATCTACAGGGTCAGGATGAAATAAACCACTAATTTATCACTTTTTTCTTAACAATAAAATGAGTTTAAATGGCTTACAAACTGCGGAATGAATTAGTCTGGGAAAAGCTGAAATACACTTACCAGGCTACAATGTATCTCATGTCTTTTAAGACACTCGTATATATATATATATATATATATATATATATATATACATTCAGTGAGGACACATTACGTTTATTAAAAGTGATCGAAAATATATTTACATTGTTACCAAATAAATTATATTTGTAATAAATGCTGTTCTTTTGAACGTTCTATTCATCAAAAAATCCAGATAAAAATGTATCCGTTTCCACACTGATAATAAGAAATGTTTCTTGAGCAGCATCTTGATTGTCAGGGTTTTAACATTCTGTAATCATGTTTCATATAATTAATTCCGGTTCATCTACAGGGTCAGGATGAAATAAACCACTAATTTATCACTTTTTTCTTAACAGTAAAATGAGTTTAAATGGCTTACAAACTGCGGAATGAATTAGTCTGGGAAAAGCTGAAATACACTTACCAGGCTACAATGTATCTCATGTCTTTTAAGACACTCCAGAACTGATTCTCTCCTGCTAGTCACATGGTTCTTCTCAGCCTCGTTCAGTGAATGTCCGATTCTCACTGTAATGCTGTAGAAAATCAACCAGGGACAGAAAAGACTGTTCACAAAATGTTCCAAACAACTCCATCATATAATACATTAAATATGAATTATCATGCATGTCCTGTGACGCTGCATGATGAAAAAGGAGCAAAAATGATTTCACTGGTATCTAAAATATAAGGAGTATTACCATTCACTTTGATTTCCCCCAGACATCTGTAAAAATGACATTTTTTAAACGTTATGAATATTCAGAAATATTTAGTTTCGATCGGTTCTGAACGGTATGGTGACTGTTTGCCAGCATTGCTTAATTATGTTTTTCCTAGTCTCAAAGCGTGAAATCTTCCAAATGCAACATTTTAGTGAAAAAAAATATTTAGAAACCAAACAGAAAGTGATTTTTATTTTTTTAAATCAGTTTTAAAGGCACTTACCATTGCTGCCAGAAGTCGAGGTTTGCAAACCGAACTGAAACTTTTTATTGAGAGCGATGTGCTTGGAAACAGGAAATATAAGACAGTTTAGACCAAGCAGAACAGGAGTGACTTCTTAAAACAATGCGGTTTTCAAATCTAGATGAGACTTGAACTTAGTACAACAGAACGGAATAGAACATTTCTTACAGATTTTTAAAATAATTTGTCATAGTTTTATGTGAACGGTTTAAAAAAATTCACAATGTCAATTTATCAAATAAATGCAGCCTTTGTGAGTCTAAGAAACTTTTTTAAGAAACTTTCACTGACCCAACATTTTTGAATGGTAGTGTACTTTATTAAATAAAGTACTTTATTAAAAGTTCCAAAACATTCATCACTGTGCACACTTGTCTAAAACTGTTATATGTTATGCTTATAATTAGCATAAAGAGTTTGTAGCAAGAGAGGTTAGTATGAATGTGTGTGTACAACAATATACTGTTACAGCAGCGCTGTAAAGATTGAGTCAAGACAGACAATAAAAGACAATTGAACAAACACAATCTTGTCTTCCCAATCATCTCTTTACACTCCGCTATCTGAAGCCCCTGAGCTAATACATTTATCCACATCTCACTGCCATAACAATAAACATCCAGAAAGACTGTAATAGATTTCCATATTCACTAATGAATGACAAAGAAATACATTCAGTCAGACACAGAGGTTGCAAGAGCGATCAATGACGTCAAATATTCTGCAGGCATGTTTGTGTGTATGGAACACACAACAGCATGTTATCTGTGTGCATGCAGCCAATACCATGTGTACAGATGCTGTTTAACACACACATGCAGACTCAGACAGTGACGTCAACCCTGATGATTAAATACAATCCAGTGAGCGACCTCTCTGATGTCAAGTCAAATATCATCAGCATCTAAGAGTTATAATGTGACCTCTGACCTCTGAAAAGGCAATGTATGAGGTAAGCATAAACCAGAAGCAGACACCTTTGTCACAATTATGTAACCACTGAAAAAGCAATATCTAAATGAAGAAAAGACATTTAACTTGTAACAAGACTTATATAGAGTACAAATATGCGTTGCTGAAGCTAATGTAGTTTTAATATAATATAATATAATAATATAAAGAGTTACATTCATACAAATATGCAATGTTTTGTAGTTTTTGTCAATTAAGGTTGTAAAAATACATAATATAATAATAGAAAACTTAGTAATTTAGGCAATTTAGGTTCACTCATCTTATCAGCAGTTAAAACATTCTGTGCGCACAGAAAGAAAGAAAAGAGAGCAATAGAGTGAGGATAACCATAAATGACAGAGTGGGGGAGAGGTGAAGACGAGAGGAGAGAAATGCAGGTATATAAAGCTGCTGTATGACAGAGCATCAGGGAGAACACATGAACACATTTCCAGACAGAGAACACCAGACGAGGACAGAGCATGAAAACAGGAAAAGGGAAAAAGGAAGAATCCTGAAAGGTAAGAAACTGATTTGTTTTCCTTTTTATATTATCTCATTAACAATGTGACGCTAAAAGGATAACCAACTTTCAAAAGACATTATTAAGAACATAATATGTGAAATAATATTAAACTTTATTTGTATAGCACCTTTAATACACTCTGAGAAAAAAAGCTGCAAAAATGTTACTTTTATGGGTACAACAGCTCGTCACTGCGGCAGAACCCCCAACGAACACATTTGTACCTTCTTTAGCCATATAAAGTGTTCATAATAGCACCATAACAGTACATATTACTACCTAAAGGGTACTTATTACTACTCTAAGGTACAAAGATGTCCCTTTGAGGGAACAGCCCCAGTGACAAGCTGTTGTACAGGTACATTTTTTGCACTTTTTTTCTGACAGTGCAAGGAATGCAGTACAAAGTGCTTGACAATAATAATAATAAAAAAAAGTCACCAAACACATCACATGAAAACAAATAAAAATACCATAATTAATATAAGTATAAAAATGAAACTCACTTTATAATGACAATAAAAGATTCCGGCAGAACCCCCAACGAACACATTTGTACCTTCTTTAGCCATATAAAGTGTTCATAATAGCACCATAACAGTACATATTACTACCTAAAGGGTACTTATTACTACTCTAAGGTACAAAGATGTCCCTTTGAGGGAACAGCCCCAGTGACAAGCTGTTGTACAGGTACATTTTTTGCACTTTTTTTCTGACAGTGTACAAGGAATGCAGTACAAAGTGCTTGACAATAATAATAATAAAAAAAAGTCACCAAACACATCACATGAAAACAAATAAAAATACCATAATTAATATAAGTATAAAAATGAAACCCACTTTATAATGACAATAAAAGATTAAAATAAAATTAGAAGTTAATAGCTTTCTTTTAAATAATATCTGGCCTCCCCAACATCTATTGGTAATGTATTCCAAATACACAGCTATATGCTACATTATGCTAAATAATGCAAAATTGATGGAGGGGTGACAAGAAAAGATGAGAAATTATAAAAAGGAATCAATTAAAACATTATTTTCTCTGTACGGAATAAATGCTACTTTTATCCACCATGTAACAACAATAATAATGTGATCTAACATTTTGATAACAAGAACAAAGCAACAAAAAAAAAACTATTAATGCCGTTTGTGCTGCATTTGCTTAGATTAAATATAACACTTTATTTTGAAATACCAACAATGCCACACAACCCTATAAGTATTTTTTAAAGCACACGCTAATTTTTCCTAAAAACATTTTTAAACGTAATAAAATCCCTCCTAATTGTAACTCCCCAACATCTATTGGTAATGTATTCCAAATACACAGCTATATGCTACATTATGCTAAATAATGCAAAATTGATGGAGGGGTGACAAGAAAAGATGAGAAATTATAAAAAGGAATCAATTAAAACATTATTTTCTCTGTACGGAATAAATGCTACTTTTATCCACCATGTAACAACAATAATAATGTGATCTAACATTTTGATAACAAGAACAAAGCAACAAAAAAAATCTATTAATGCCGTTTGTGCTGCATTTGCTTAGATTAAATATAACACTTTATTTTGAAATACCAACAATGCCACACAACCCTATAAGTATTTTTTAAAGCACACGCTAATTTTTCCTAAAAACATTTTTAAACGTAATAAAATCCCTCCTAATTGTACATATCCTATCATCAGTGAAATCAAATGGCTTATAATTATTTTGATGCAAATCTTTCCTTTTCTGCAATTAAAAACACAACATTTCACTGGTAGCTCAGAGCAGCTGAACCCAATAATTCAAACAACTGAGAATAAATCTATAGTTGCTCATTTACCCTCCATTTCTTTCTTCTAGACATGCAGACAAACGAGATGAAGGTTTTACAAGCTGTGTTTTGCATGCTTAGCATCCTTCAGCTCTGTCATGGAGTATTCAGCAGTGGAGAATGCTACTTCAACGCAAAAGGTCAAGTGGACTAAACAATACAATATAGGTTGGGCTAAACATGATGTGTGACTGAAAGTGTTAATGACCACTGCTTCGCTGCAGCCAGCTGTGAGCACAATGGCCATGTATTTGACATCGGGGAGGCCTGGATAAATGACGAATGTTTCCAGTGTGTGTGTTTCGAGCCTTTTGGAGTGGGCTGCTGCGAACAGTAAGTTTCAGAGGCGCATACTTACATGACTATAAGCACTCTGATGCAGCTGATGTTGAAGCTCATTGTTCTTGTCTGTCATCTCTAGAGAAAAGCAGCCAGTCGATTTCCCGCCCTGGTGCGAGGCCATTAGAAAACCAGATTCCTGCACAGTTGCTGTGGTGATGAAGGCCAACCATAAACTTCCCTGCCTGTCTGGGGGGAAAACCCGCCTGTGGAAATCAGAGAACGACCCACTCTTCTAGACTGCACTACTGAATTCACTCATGCAAAACACAAATTCATTTAAATATACAGCATATTCACCATGTTTCACAATGTACATATAGGTACACACACTGTTCGAAAGTTTGGGGATAGGAAGATATTTTACTGTTTATTGAAAGAAGTCTCTTTTTTTATAATTTAAAATAACAGTATTCTACTGTAATAGATTTTATAAATGTGATTTATTCCTGTGATAGCAAAGCTGAATTTTCAGCAGCCATTACTCCAGTGTCACATGATCCTTCAGATTTAGAAATCATTCTAATACGCTGAATTGATGCTCAAGTCAATGTTTAAAACAGTTGTGCTGACCCAAACATTTGAACAGTAGAGCACACACATTGTTTGAATATTTGAAAATATGAAACTACTGAATCTAAGGGTCTTAATTATCTAATAATCCTAACCATTTCAGAAAGTGTCTTAACATTTCAAAATTCTAAAATTTTCATTTTTAAATTAAACGTAAATGACTCGTATGTATATCATGAGTAAAAACTAAAAGGTGAAATTAGATTTTTTTTTTCCCCCACGATGAACAAACAGTACTGATGCCCATCTTAAAACTGTGATATTTGTCTCTAAACAAATATCAGTGACTGTTTGAGTGCATTTTTGTTTCTAGTAACCACACTACAGATCATTCTTAAATTAAATGGCAATAACCATCTGAACGTGCAAGAAAACTATAAGAGACCCAGATCCTGAGAAACACCCCTTTAGTGACAGTAAAAATCATGGTCTTTATTTTATTTTTTTATTTAGGTATCATTACACAAGATACAGACAGTAACAAAGTGATTACACATCATTGTGGCCTTTTTCCACTTAAAATTTTGTGTTCACCCCTTTTAATCTTTATACTATTAAGTGTTACATTTCGCTCCCATTTACTGTGTTCATAATACATATTTAGATCTGCATGGCTTTTGGAACTTTCGAATCTGGCAGTGCCACTGCTTTGAACTCACTAAAAAAAACAAAAAATTAAAAAAAAATTCATAATCTTCAACCTTTCTTCCCTGGATAGAATATGGCTCTTTAAAGCAAATAAAACTAAATAAAAAATAACAAAACGGGCCACCTGAAAAAAACATGACTTGGACTCCTCTGCTCAAAAGATGTCCACCATAAGCCCATAACAGTGCAGGATTTCAAATAGTGGTTTGCAAAAGTAAAGTTGTGTGTTAAAATGCAGGGGGATTAAACCCCAAAAAAGAATACATATATTACTCAAACTCCAAATGGAAGCAAATGCTTTTAATAATAAAAAAACAAAGTTCATTGCGGCATGGTTGTGCATACTGTTACAGACCACATGATGTGGCTTTGGTCCCAAAACCTGTGACGCCGACAAACAGGCAACAGAAACTAGTGCAGGACGAAGAGTGTGAAGAGGTAAGAGGAGAGCAGTGGATCAGGCATCAACAAGACCAGCAAAAACATCCGGTCACATGATCATCAGGGAAAAAAGGATCTAAAGCCAAGCTGGGACTGAGACTTTTATGGCACAAAATGTTAAGTAAATCAGTCTCCAGTAAAATTAAACAATTATTGAGAGAACTGGCTGATGGTCAAAGACCAAAATGCTACCATATGGCTAGCATTTAACATTCGACACTTTAGGAATACCATAGTAGATTGTTCCTGAAATCACTTGGAATTTTCGGAGGAGATGAGCAGTGAAGCTTAAATGCTCCAGAAAGATTAAAGTACTTTTGAACCATCGAGAGGCACCACATTTTTACTGGTTGGCTTGGTGAGCCCATCCTCCAGCAAAAAAAAAAAAGGGATCAGAAAAACAGAAGAATCAGATGTGCAGAGACAAAGAAACCAAATGAGATGAAGGTGTCAGGAAGGGAAGAGGCGGCTTTTTTTTCCTGCTCCAGGTCTTCCTTAGAAACTATTGAGCTCGCTCAGGGTCTGGTCCAAAGTGGCATGGATCTTGACGTTCTCATCTTTAGCATCTCTTAGTTTCTCTGCAATGAAAAAAAAATGTCCCACGGAGGACAGCAAAAAATGAAATAAACCTCAAAATCATATTGTAATTCAACACTGTATGTGGTTTATTATTATAATATAGACTTTTGATTTGGCTACAAGGTCTAAAGTTGAGACTTCCTAGGTTCTTTGAACAACCAGTATAGACGGTTTTCTAAGCAACCATATTAGGTTGTAAACTCCTTTTTGAAAATCTTAAATTATAGAGCATTTTGAGACAAAAACATAACTGGATACATTCTGATACAATGTTAAGCTACCACTACAAATCCTCTGTGTCAGCATTATATTTGCATTACAATTCAGCTTTAATAAATACTACTTGTGAAACCATTCAAATTTATGGTGACGGATACTGTAGATAACATTCCATTCAAATATGTTGGCTTTGTATCCCCCAGTGTTAAAATTACGCAACACTGGCATGTCAATGCTTTGCTTTTACCATGGGGTAAAAATAACTAAACGATAAACCAATTTTCTGAGAAATTGCAGCTGAACTACAGACCATTCAAATTTATGGTGACGGATACTGTAGATAACATTCCATTTAAATATGTTGGCTTTGTATCCCCCAGTGTTAAAATTACGCAACACTGGCATGTCAATGCTTTGCTTTTACCATGGGGTAAAAATAACTAAACGATAAACCAATTTTCTGAGAAATTGCAGCTGAACTACAGAGTTTTGCTCTATGGCATCAGGCCATCCATTGAGACTTCAGAAAGACAAGGACTTGTTTTTCAGTAACTTTGGTTGGTTTTAGTGAATAGCTAAGATCTTCCTTAAACATGCATTCATTTCATCCCCTAATAAAACAATCACATTGCTGTTGCTCAGCTGATTTAGGCCCAATCCCAATTCTACCCCTTAGCCCTTCCCGCGTTTACGTGAAGGGGAAGGGGTGTCTCGATTCTCTTTTGGTTGGAGGGGTAGGGGTAGAGGTAAGGGGAAGCGCCAGATAGCCCTTCAAACGAAGATTTTTCTCCCGAGCGAACAAAGACACAAATGTTAGCATTTTTGGCATTAAAGATTTTAACGAAAAGTAATAATTTGTTTTATGTTACATTCAATCGGGAGTTCATATTTACAGTCATGTTACTCAAAGAAATTTTGCAAAAAAATCGCTAAAGTTTGCTAACATCATATCATTACTGACCACAACATAGGCTATTTTCATGTCTGATCAGGGCGATAATAACCACCATAGACATATCGAGGAGGACTAGTACCCTCATTAATTCTAAATCGAGAGAGAGAGAGAGAGATGAGCTTCAGTCCTGATGCTTCACTAACATCTACTGCTGCTCTGAATCACAACATCAGAATCAGTCAGATTACTGCACAGATCAAACACAACTACATCACTCACTGGCAAACCCAAACACAACAGCAGAGTAAAGTGCAATGCTATTTGGCCCTAAAGAGAGAGTACAGTATGGCAGAGTATCTGTACACAGTGTCAGATAAGAAACTGAGAAGCACGTTGACCAGATACAGTTCCAGCGGACACAAGCTGATGATAGAGACGGGCAGACACAGAAAAACATGGCTGCCACCGGAGCAGAGACTGTGTTCACACTGTGATCTGAATCAGATGGAAACAGAACTGCACTTCCTAACAGAATGCCCCAAATACACAGATATACGGACAGTGTTCTATGAGAAAATACAGCAGATTCATCAGACATTTAAAACTCTCTCAGACCAGGAGAAAGTGGCGTATCTGTTAGGAGAACAGAAGAACTGCTGTGTGTTTGCTGCTCAATATGTGTCTGCCTGTCACCACAGAAGAGAAAACACTCACCCTGCCCTGATCTGATGTTTCCAGCACAGCTACATTATATTATGCCATATTACTGTATTATATTACTTAGATGTACATTTTGCTTCTGTAAATCTGTCTAATCACTTATTTTAATTGTATTTCTAGTTTATATACTTATACATTATTAATTAATTTTACACTACATGTTTAATACTTTTTATATATTATATTATTTTTCTTTCTGTTAATACATGTGTACTATTTGTAAGCAGTCCAGCTGCAATTGCTTTGGCAATACAAATGTATAATTTTTGTCATGCCAATAAAGCACTCTTAAATTGAAATAGAGAGAGACAGAAAGAAAGAGAGAGAGAGAGAGCGAGAGGTTGCATTTGCGCGCGTCTGCGCGTTTCTTTTTTTCAAGTGGGTTTACTTCAAAAACAGCTGTTTTATCCTCTCATTGCTGGAAAACATGACCTATCGATTTCAGTATTTAAACTGTTATTAATAAAAGTTGTAGGGCAGCGTTGACAAGTTCCTTTGCTCCTGGATGTGTGAGCATAATATAGAATGGTAATTAAAGGCTCTAATGCACACCAGTATAGGTGTGTGTATTGTAGGAGCTAGATGGAGTATGGATGACGTGTGACGGTATAATAGTGGTGTCCCAATTCTTAGGGGAATATTTTCACCCCTACCCCTTGACACTCTGTTTCAAGGGACAAGGGGAAGGGGTAGGCAGAGGGGAAGGGGTATAAAATAGAATTGGGATTGGGCCTTTTAAATAACTTCTCACAAGTGCTGACAGTTGTTCAGCCATTTTGGCAGACAGCTTCCATTTCGAAATGGAAATTGTCCTTTTTGGAAAAACTAAACTGATTTGAATGGCCAGCAAGAATCAATGTATCTAGCCTAAAGAAAAGTTGCCTGCCCCTACCATCTATACCAACCCCTAGATCTACCCAACTACGTCTTTTCAAGCCCCCCTTTAGTTTTATTTAAGGGGGGGGGGGCAGCCTGTCAAAGGAAAGGGAATTTCAGTTTTTTTCCCCCCCAACTTCAACAGCTGATTGTATTTAACACTACTTCGTGTAAAACCTTATTAGGTCTTAATGAGGGAAAACAGCATCATACAGTGATTAAGTATTAAAAACAAAGTATAACTGTTTTAAGATTTAATTTAAGAACTTCCTCTAGTTGGCTACGATATTTTGGCCATTTGTAAACATTAAATCACACCTCTTTTTTTTCGTAATTTCAGACCTTCAAATCTGTGCACAAGTGATAATCTTAACCAAAAGCTCGAACTCGTGATTAATCACAATTAGTGATGGAGAATTTATCCAAGCTTTTATCTTTCAACCACAAGACATTCATGTGCACTCTAAAATTGGTAAATGCCTGGTTGCCCAACACCAGCCCACTGTAATAAAGAGAGACAAGCAGACATTCAAAAGAGAGTAGAGCTTTTTTTCCTCCCTTCAATAAACATGGACACAGGGCATGAAAAATACAGCAAAGGTCACAAGAGAGAGAAAAACCAGGGACAAACAAAGAACACAAGTCTCTGAATACAGTCTGATCCAGATAAGAGAAGATGTTGGGGGCAGATAACGAACATCTAAAGAACAGAAATTCAAAGAAAGCAGAAACAGAACAAGGCTTAAATGGAGAAACTGAAACTACAGACACGAGCACATGGAAAAATACGTGAAAAGAGAAGTGTACACAGACGATCAGAGAAGCAAGCAAAAAAAATATGGACAGTCAGAGAAGACGAAGAAGAACTTCTTGAAGTCACAGTCAGCCGCAGAACAGTCCAGAATTTATCTGTAAATAGACACCAATGGTAAACACCTCATGACAAAATTTCTACATTTCAGAATGAGCAAACCGAACATGCAAGTGTTAAGAACAAACGTTAATTCTAAAATCAATAAAAGCCAAAGCTCTATAAAAAATAAAAAAAACTCTCAAATCACCAATTTATGGAAAACAGGGTTGTTCAGGTCTACAACAAGACATTCTTCCACAACCCAAAATGCCTATTTATAAAAAGCAAGCTATAAAATGGGTCATTCGTAATGCTGTATGGTTACGAGTAGGGATGGGTATCGTTTACATTTTATCGATAATAGAATCGATATACTTATCGATACTATTTGGTACAAAAAGATATAAAGTGAAAAGTTGTTGAAAATGTTAAGTTATTTTATTACTGCTGAACTTTAGCAACTGTATTAAAGTTCTTCAGTCAAGAGCAGCAAGTTATTTTTCTCTTTGGGTTTTATTTTATTAACATTAAAGGAATGGTAAACCAAAAAATTAAAATTGTGTCATCATTTACTCACTTTCAAGTTGTTTTAAACCTGAATGAGTTTCTTTCTTCTGTTGAACATAAAAGCTATTTTAAAGAATGTGGGAAACTAAACAGTTGCTGGTCCCCAGTGACTTTCATATTTTTTTCCTACTATAAAGTCAGTGGGGACCAGCAACTGTTTGGTAACCAACATTCTTCAAAATATATTATTTTGTGTTCAGCACAATAAATAAAAATTAATACATGTTTGGTACAACATGACTGAGTAAATAATGACAGAATTGTAATTTTTGGGTCAACTATCCCTTTAATGACAAGCGGCAGCATGTTTAGTACTGCCGCTTTAAGAGCTGCACGCATCTGTTTTTCTACTTTCACTTTAGACATGATTAACTGTTTATATGTAAACTTTGTGTGTTTTTGACAATATTAGCACAATCAGACGATAACCAAGTAATCTGGTGCTGTTTGACCGGCCCATACGGACGCTTCGGGTGTACGTGCTCTGAATAAGCACGTTAGAACAGCATGCAAATGAAACGTTTAACCGGCAAGGCTTTAAAGCATGTGAAATTTTTTTACTTTTGTGATTGCGAATAAGTGCAGTGTCTTGTGAGTGCAACTCTACCGAATCAACATTTGATGTGAATGTGTCTCGCGAGTTGCAGTTGGAGCTGAAGCCGGGAGACATAGCCTAATACAGCGCATTGCTTGAGGTAGATGTTTTGTTTTGTTAGTAAATGTTTCATTATATTACTAATGTTGTCTCCTTTGTTCACTATTACACTACTGCATATATTGCATCTGACACTGGTGTCACCTAGTTTTGTAACGTGAACCCACGCTTTCAAACGTTTCACTCTTGCCGCAATGACTGATTGCAAACACACCGCACATGCGCATGGATATCACACGCACGTCGAGCAAACCTCGGCCACATCATTCAGTGAAGGAAAATGACAAGCAGCAGCTTCTAATTCGTCATTAACATTGAAGCATACGGAGATAAAACAACGCAAGTATCGATAACAGTATCGTTTGTCCTGAAGCTTATCGGTATTCCGGTATCGACCCAATTACGCACCGGTCCAAAAAAATACATGTTCTCGGTACCCATCCCTAGTTACGAGGTCAGAAGAACTATTAGTAAAATTAACATAACCACCCACATTTGCATATCCACACTATTCAATATTCAGAAACATGGTAGGAGTTGGTACTGGTTCTCTTAAACTCTTAAAAGGCACAGCAAAATCAGATCAGCCTGTTTAAAGAAGGGTAGAAAATGTCCCCTTTATCTGTAGGCAAATAAGAAACCATTTAATGCTGTTAGCATATTAGTAACTTGACAGGTGCATATAAGTTAGAAATTAGAATCACACTATAGTAATTGCCCAAGTCATGACATCATTCACACAGACTCAAAGCAGTTCAAAAGAAACTGTGAAAAGATGGCTCCTGTCAACTATTAAATCTTTGCGACTGAGCTTTATACTGTATAGTAAAAGTATACAATCAGAGGTCATGAAGCTCAAGGTTAGGTAACCAATTCAGTCACGAGACTCAAAATCCACCATAGTGGCAAAACTCAGCTGACCTAGCAACAGCAAACCGTAAGTAGCAGAGCTTCACACACATGCACAAGCCTGTATTTACATAGAGGTCATGTCGTTGAGGGCATGATCCAGCTCCTCACTAATGGCCTTATACTTGAGTTTCTGAGCGTAAAGCTCATCTGGTCACACACAAGGAAAGAAAGACAGAGCAGAGAGGAAGGAAAAAGTCAGACGAGGGAGAGAGTATGAAGGAAAGATAAAAGAAAATAGGAAAAAACAGCAAATAAAGATTAAAATGTCAAAGCGGACAGGAAAAGGACAGGGAGATAATGCTATGAATAGAGTACAACCAGTATAAAAACAGGATCATATTATAGCTAATGAAAGGAAAAAGTGTTCAAGAGAATGACACAATCATACCTTCCAAATCATCAATGGTTTTCTCCAGTTTGGCCACAGACCTCTCAGCAAATTCAGCACGGGTCTCAGCCTAGCAGAGAAAGACGTGATCAAACTATGAGCAAAAATCTGCATAATAAATCAAAATAAAACTGAAAAGTTACTCAACATTAATAAAAATCATTAAAATCCATTTATAAAAAAAAAAAAGAAAAAAAAAAGAAAAAAGTAAATCACAATAAACCTAATGATATTTATAGTTACCCTAATTGATCGAAAATGTCAAAGGTAAAATGTTACATTTCATAATGGTGAAGAGTGGCTTAAATGGGTGTAACATAACCAGCGGCATGAGTTTGGGACAGGACTACCAGTTTGTTGAACGATGGAAGTGTTTGAAACTTGATTAAGACATTTTTGCATTTTTGTTAGTTGTTGCCTAGAACATGCATACAAATAGGCCTGTCGCAATAATCAATACATCGACTTATCGCACAATATATGTACATGACCTCAATCATTTTTGGCAACGCAATATATTACCCATTATATTTACATAAAAATTAATGTCACCTTGCTTTTTGCACTCCACTTGCGCCTGTGTCTTTTGCAGCTTCTCGTACATAACGTGGTGTAGTTGGTGCTAGTTCAAATTTTAAAAATGCTTCTTCAAAAAAACATTTCATCGGCAGATATGGCCTTGTTTAGGGGATCTGTGCCTTTGTGCATACAGACATCTGACTGCTAAGTAGGGATTGTGTTTTTCAGCAATAGTGTGCACCCTTAATTTACAGAGAAAAGAAGGTCCAGGAAAAATCTGTAGATGGAAAAATCTCCATACAAGCTATTTTTGAATTTTTATTTTTTTCTACTTGCTACTTTGCACTGTTTGTTAGAAAATGTTTATTTACAATTTTTTTCATGTATCTAATATTTTGATACTTAATTTCCATGATCAAAATATTCTTAAGAATGAAAAGTTTGCCATTTTAAAGTGTGTTGGCCTTCTTGCATTATTATGCTTTTATATTATGATTATATATTCAACCACTACTTATGCAAACCATAAAGTGCAACAAACAACAGCTTTGATTAGGAAAATAAATGAGATCCAATAATAGGATTCCATCTAAAATTCTATTGTACTGTAACACACACAGCATGCCGCAGAATCACATGCAAATGAATGGGTGTTTCTGTCAAAAGCTAATCACATGCAACACAGCATTCATTAGCATCACTTCTGCTTTCTTAATCTAAAGGCTTCCGAGACCGGTTGCGCTTGATTCTGTAAGGGACCAAAATGGTGGCACTTCATTAATTTCATTACGCAACAGTGCTTCAGGCATGCTGAATAACATCTCATCTAATGGTGATATGGAGAGGGGGGTCTTCACTGTTACCCCTGTGGCCAATTACAGCTTTTTCTTGATGTAATGGTCTACCACTGTAATCTGGTCTGACATATGTGGCCTTTTGCTTCGGATGATGATATACAGTTGTACACCAGACAAAAGGGCACTTGTAAATGAGGGCAAAAATCTCCATACAAGCTATTTTTGAATTTTTATTTTTTTCTACTTGTTACTTTGCACTTTTTGTTAGAAAATGTTTATTTACAATTTTTTTCATGTATCTAATATTTTGATACTTAATTTCCATGATCAAAATATTCTTAAGAATGAAAAGTTTGCCATTTTAAAGTGTGTTGGCCTTCTTGCATTATTATGCTTTTATATTATGATTATATATTCAGTAGCATAAAATGGTCTTAAAATGACAATAATATTGTTTATCGCAATTATTTCTGGGGCAATATATCGCACAACAAAAAGTTGTTTTTGTGACAGGCCTACATACAGATCCTATTAGGACAAAAACTAAGATTACTGGAATTACACTTGGTTTAATCTAGGTCAAATAAACCTGGAATTGTATATTACAAATATTGTTGGCTCCTTGACTTGCTTTTGTTCCTCTTCACTTTGGATCTGCTAACTGTAAATGTAACAGATGTTTTCAATCAAAGTGACTTAAAAATGAGGAAGCCCTAGTAACTCATTTCTCCATTTACTGATACATGATTATGGGATTGTTGCGTGTGCAGGAAATCTGTGCTAGTGCAGGTCTTACCAGTCACTGAACAGAATGAGGACAAATGTAAGAAACTATATACATTTAATGCACAAGTTAACATTAACTTTGGCCGCCCTAATAGAAACCAAATCACCATGTGAAATCATCTCACCTCCTTCAGCTTATCAGTGAGGATCTTGATTTCTTCCTCATACTTGTCTTCCTTCTGGGAATACTGTAGGGAAATAGGAAAATAAGTTGAGGTGGGGTCTTATGAGAATCTTACAACTCCGCATGCACACACTCTGCGAGTTTGGCACCCTTCAAATAGACAACCAATTTCATGACACTTTAATGCTGACATGTTTCTACAACAGCTCTTGAGGTGAAAAGTAGCGCAGCGGTCTGTTTTGACATTATGAGGCATGTTTTTCCCCTCTTTTCCTCAAAGTTTCTATGCAAGCTGGCTGAGTTCTGGCCTGCTGCTGTTGTGCAAGGCTTGTGACACGATGGCTAAGATTGCTGCTGTGTGCTGCCAGAGCTTTAAACACATCAGGATATGTGCACAGGAATGCAGCCGCAACATCAACAAAACACCAGGTACGATAGAAAGGGAAAAACAGCCAGAATTCAAGGAGGAATTGTATATATTGGGGGAAAAAAGTAGTAGTAGACTTTTTATAGGCTGTGGACTTCTATAGTTAAACCAACACCACTACTTATGCAAACCATAAAGTGCAACAAACAACAGCTTTGATTAGGAAAATAAATGAGATCCAATAATAGGATTCCATCTAAAATTCTATTGTACTGTAACACACACAGCATGCCGCAGAATCACATGCAAATGAATGGGTGTTTCTGTCAAAAGCTAATCACATGCAACACAGCATTCATTAGCATCACTTCTGCTTTCTTAATCTAAAGGCTTCCGAGACCGGTTGCGCTTGATTCTGTAAGGGACCAAAATGGTGGCACTTCATTAATTTCATTACGCAACAGTGCTTCAGGCATGCTGAATAACATCTCATCTAATGGTGATATGGAAAATGAGAGGGGGGTCTTCACTGTTACCCCTGTGGCCAATTACAGCTTTTTCTTGATGTAATGGTCTACCACTGTAATCTGGTCTGACATATGTGGCCTTTTGCTTCGGATGATGATATACAGTTGTACACCAGACAAAAGGGCACTTGTAAATGAGGGCGTTCATGTTATGCTCACATGACCAGTTAGATCACTGGTTTGGTAATTAGGAAGCCTATATTTGATTGATTGCCTGGAAGGCAATTTGCAAGGCACATTTGTGGGGACTGAATTAGAGTTCCTTTGAGGGTTAAAAAAGGGACGAACACTGCAACCAATCAGAGATCGTGCAGAAGGAAACACACACACACACACACACGCGCACGCACGCACGCTCCCTACCTTCTCAGCCTGGGCCTCCAAACTCTTAAGATTGTTGGTGACATTTTTCAGCTCCTCCTCCAGCTCAGCACATTTGCTATATACAGAGTAGCCGTTTTGATTTTGGAGGAAGCAGAAAAGAAAGGGGCACAGGGCAAAGGAAAGACATGAAGACAAGCCAGCAGCAGTGGCAGAGTAATAGAGATGATGTTAAACACATGAACAGTAGAAGAGAGGCCTTAAATGATTGTTTTGTGAGGGACACTCAAAAATAAAAACTGACATTTACTAGACCCCATGTCATTTAAAACCAATATCACTTTCTTCTGAAAACACAAATAAATATGATATTTCACAGCCCTGCTTGCACATGACCATACAATGAAGAACTGAAAGAAAAAAAAGACTGTCACTTTTGTTCACTTTGTGGTCTGTACTAAAATATATATATATATATATATATATATATATATATATATATATATATATATATATATATATATATATAT